GGATTATATCGTTACCCCCCTTGAATAATATTCTTTCCGACCCTGTACATGGACATATTATTTTCATATAGGAAATAATTTTTCTGGTGGAGTATTTAAATGTGTTCGTAAAATATCATTATATGATGAACGTCCATTTGAACATGAATTTTTTCTTCGAATTCAGAAATTATTTCCATTTATTGAGGAATTAAGTTTACATAATATGGAACCACCTGAGAATGTTAATGAACCATGGTCAATCATAGAATATTCTCACCTAACTCTACTTTATTTTTTTCAAGTTCATGAAACTTATGTCAAACAATTTTTGAATAATACTAAAACTTGTTCGTTAAATAGTATTTGGCCTGATGTAAGCTATGATACTTTACAACAAGCAACTGACAATTTTACAAATGATGCAACACGAGCTAATTGTTCCACAATCATCCGTCTATTTTTACTCGATAAGGGTGGGGTGTGGGTGTGGGTGTGGATGTGGATGTGAGTAAAGGAAAGATCTATATCTACACCCACACATCCACACCCACACCGACATCCACACTCACACCCACCCCACACCCACACCCACATCCACATCCACACTCACACCCACCCCACACCCACACCCACATCCACATGCACATCCACATCCACATCCACATCCACATCCACACCCACACCCACATCCACATCCACACCCACTCACACCCACTCTTTTTTTTCTGTTCTGTACATTGTTTTTCCATTGAATTTTGTCAAAATTTTTTTGGCTTACGGTCGGAGATACCCTCTCGAGATCTCAACGGGGATGGAGGTAATTGACTACGCTGAATCCGAATATGGTATTTTTATTCACCGACAACATACCCTTCTAAATCCCTCCGAGGTGATATGATTTGTAATTGGTGTTATTTGTGTGAGTATAATTTATATAAAGTTATGTGTGAGAGTGAAGATCTTATCAGTTGTCTGTGTAAATATATATAGCCTTTAAAATAAATAACGTTACAAACATTTTGCCACAGTGGATATTTTGCGTAAGTTTTACATAGTGACTCAGTATTTGCACTTCTGACTTCGCGCATTCTGGTAAAAAAACGAGTTTTTTTTCGTTTCTATAGTTAAGCAGAGGGAAAGAAAGAATGGAGATAACGTAATGCTTTATCATGAATTGACTGAAGAGTATATAAGGGCACGGCCAGCCATCGGTCCTCTTCGTTGGGGAAGGTTTGAATTCAAGATTGAAGGAAAATGAGTATACTATGGAATGGAGTACATTTAATAGTATGAAGAAAAAGTGTCATTAGTCATGGAATATATAGTCATTAAATGACAGTGGCGCTATTCTTTTCTCCAATGAACTTATCATAAAACGACATCTCTAGATCATCATAAGCTAACGGTTAAAAATTGTTCATATTAAAGCTGAATTGAATCAAATTTCACATCGATAGATAGAAGAAGATATGTTCTTTCAAAATAGAAGCTTTCCAAAAGAACCCAATTGTTGCATAGATTTATCAATTCTTCAGAAAACGACTGAGTTTTTCATGAAATTCCGTAACGAAAAATGGTTATAATGTGTTTCCTTCTCTTAGGTTACAAATTCATTTTTTTAAAATGACATCACTGGATAGATCTTTTCGAGATCTATCGAATGGACTACATTCTATTGATCATCGGTTCTAGTTTTGTGTATTTATATTCAAAATACTTCGTTACGGAATTTCATATAATACAGAATACTATATATTTGTTTTAAAATTTAACATAGTTTTTTTTTATTGCATACACAAAGTTATATTTGTATTATTTTCATATGCGTACTGTACAATGAATTCATAATATATTCGTTGTTTTTTTAATACATTTTTGTGACTTAGTCACATAATTATTCACCAGCTTTTTTGATCTTTCATCTTTTAGATAAACCACTAGCTCTTTCTTATTTGATGGCTCTCTCCGGTGCTGAGAGAGCCCGACGTTGTCGAGAGAAAAAGAAAGCAGCAGGTTTACACAAATTAATAAAACAACAAGATTGTGAACGTAAACGACTTGCTCGTTCAAAAATGCCACCAGCTAAATTAAAAAAATTACGTTTACGTCAACAAACTAATCTTCGAAAATTTCGTTCAAAATCAAAATTAAATCCAACTCGACCATCACCACCTGAATCATCATTTCGAACGAAACAATCTAAATCTAAGGCTTTGAACAGAATTTTAAATGCTTTGCCCGCAAACAAAGACAAACAGTTTGAATTGATCAAAGAAATTGCTGCAAATTTGAACATTGTTAAATTAGAAAAAAAATTTGAACGTAATCAACAATCATTATCAACAGATGTAAAACAACGAGTATATGATTATTATTTTCGTGATGACATAAGTTTTCAAGCACCCGGTAAACGAGATTCAATTACAATTAGAGAAAATGGTGAGAAGAAAAAATTACAAAAACGTTATTTATTATATTCATTAAATGAAGCTTATCAATTGTTTGCTGAAGAAAATCCACAAGCTGTGATTAGTTGCTCAAGTTTTAAAAATTTACGACCATGCAATGTTTTATATAAATCAGCAACACCACACAATCTTTGTTTATGTATTTACCACGAGAATATATCTCTTCTCTTACAAGCAATTGATGAACGTATTCATGGCATTAAATCGATTGATTTGAACTCATTTATTAAATTGCTAGTTTGTGATGATAGTCAAGAATTATGTATGTTTAGCAATTGTAGTCAATGTTCGAATAACTTTAAAATGAAAATTCAAGATCAAATTATTGATCTATTTGTAATTATTAAATGGTCGTTATGGTCAACATCAAAAGAAGGTCGAACAGTTAAAATTGATTATGAAGGAACAGTTCAAAATTGTATTAATATTTTACAAACTAAAATCAATCCTTTTTTATTTCATGTCTTTATTAAAAGACAACAATCGAATTTTTTTGAAATGTTGAAGAAAGATGTTACTGACAAAAAATGTTTACTTCAAGTCGATTATGCTGAAAATTATTCTATTATCGAACAAAACGAAATACAAAGTGCTCACTGGAGCCGAAAGCAATTATCGATTTTCACTGCACACGTTTGGTCTCAATCAAAAACATATCCATTAGCAATAATATCTGATGATTCATCACACGACAAATACACCGTTGCAAAATGTCTTGAACATTTATTCAATCGTTTAAAAGTATTATTACCTTCAATGGAAGAGTTAATAATTTTTAGTGATGGTAGTGCTTGTCAATTCAAGCAACGTTTCTTATTCAAGAATCTGACGTATTTGGCTGATCAATTTTCTCTAAAGTTATCATGGAACTTTTTCGCGAGTCATCACGGTAAAGGTAAGTAAGACTAAAGAAAATGTGTAAACAAATCTTGATGAAACGAACGTATTGCAAGGATATTCGATTTTGACTAGAAATAATATTGATACAACATAGTAGATAAAAAAAAGATTAATCTTTGATGATTGGTCTTGGGGTAGTGGATGGCATTGGTGGATCAGTGAAAAGAATGGTATATCAAGACGTACTGGTTGGTAAACGATGCAGAAATGCAAATGATTTTTTACATCTAATTGAACAAAAAAATACTTCATTTGTAATCGATGAATTATCACCAGATGAAATTGAACATGGTCGTGATGGTCTTGGATTAATTTTTAATCAAGTGAAGGCAGTACCAAATATCCAAAAAGTACATTCAATGACTGTTATAGATATTCATAAAATTGAATGTAAAATTTATTCTTATAGTGATAAAAAAACAATAGTAAATTTTTAATATATTTTTGTTTTTATTGATATTGTATTTATATGATATATTAGAAACTGTGTTTGTAGGATTTTCTTTATGGTAACAAAAATTAAATTAGTTGAATTAAAAAAACATTGGTTTACTCTCTTTGAACAAAAAATCAATAATTTTGTGTAACAATTAATTTAAACTTCAAGCTATTAAACCTTCTGCATTCAAATCGCAAAAATAGGTGAAATTCCGTAACATTTGAAATTCCGTAACGCTCAGTCTTTTAAGTTGTCTTATTTAAAAGGAATGTCCTACAGAGAAAACGATATGATATTCTAAGAGCTTGTGAAAAACTGAACAACCTTTGTATAGAACGTACATTTATGAGTTGCTTAGTTTCGAAGAAAAATGCTAAAATCTGAGTCTACCCTCAAAATTTTGTCCATTTTTTGAAATTCCGTAACGAACGATGTTTTTCAAATAACTCCGTTATGGCTTGCGACAAGTCAGTGAAATTTTTAGTGCTAGTAGAGCTAGTTAATCTTCATATATGCCCAAAATTTCAGAAACATCTCTCTTGTTATTGAGGAGATATATGTCTCACAAGTTGAAAAAATGAAATTCCGTAACGCTTGGCCGTGCCGATAAAGAACGAACAACCTTGCGAAAATTTATTTTACATTACGTTGTCGTCAAAGAACTGCACAATTGTGAAAAATAATAAAGATATATTTAGTCTGTTAGATCATGGCTTATAATCAATCAGGTAGTAGTATGAAGGTAAGTTATATCGTGGTATTTTAAATTCAGAATATACTAAAGAGATTTTATAATAGGATTCCAAAGAAGAAGGTAGTAATATCAATCCACGCTCTTCATTATTTTTTTCATTTGACGATGAAACAGACTCAATGCACTTTGTAGCTCCACGTGAAGTAGTGGGCTTAGTAGCTCAAAATGAAGTAGTATTAACGGGCGGCATTTCAATATATGGTAAAGTTAGGCATGCACCAAAGCCAAAACTCTTGGTTTTGGAGTATTGGTTTCGATATAGTTTTGGTTTCAAAATATTGGTTTTGATATAGTTTTGACGGTCTTGGTATTGGTTTTGATATAGTTTTGATGGTTTTGGTATTGGTTTTAATATAGTTTCGATAGTCTTGGTAATGGTTTTGATATGGTTTTGGTATCGATAGTATTGGTCTCGATCAAGTTTTGTTTTTTTTTTGGTTTTGGTCTTGGTTTTGAGATATTATTAAAAAACAATTATTTTGATGCAATAAATCTATGATGGCTTCCTCTAAGCTGTTCTATATTTGCTAACTTGAACTAGGCTTCTAACATAATATTGCTTATCGATGAAACCCATATCTCTGCTATTAATTATACGCTTATAATCATCAAAATATAATTTCAAAAACTATCGACATTTTAATCTTAAAACCACGGTCTGGAAAATATATTTCTGACAAGGCAAAGGAGAACTTTTCCTGATACCACCATACACAGTTTTTACAAAATTCGGAAATTAGTACCATAATGCAGACCGTTTTCCTTGATTTGAATAGGTGACTCTATTCAATCATTGATATCTATAGCATCTGTAGAAACTTTTTTATTTAATTAATATTATTTACCAAATAATCTTGTAATTCAGCTTGTTACCCACAAAGTAAAAGAAAAAGAATCTACAATTCCATAATTTTATATTGATGTGCTTGTTAGGGTGTGTAGCATAGCATATTAGTTTTTTAATAAACTATCTTGAGTGTCTACTTATCGATCAAAAAGTTGTTCCGAATGAAGTTTCTTGCATTATACACCAGATCATTCGTTACGTATGTAATCAGTATTATCATACAATTTCAAAACGGTCGAATTGCCCTAATCAATTCTAGATAGAGAACAATATTACATCCAATATGATGGAATTCCGCAAAATTTCCTCTAAAGATCTACTATGTAGATCTGATTGCGACTAGGGGTGGTAGTTTAACTTTAAAAACACTTTAAAAAAGTATTAAAGTTTAAAGTGTTTGACTTTAAACTTTAAACTCTAATTAAAGTAAAACACCTTAACACTTTAACGTTAAAAAAAGTTAAAGTTAAAGTGTTTGTGCCATGGGTAAGAAACGACCATGCCCAATTCTTAGGTCCTCATCTGGTGTCCTAGCGGGGGGTACTTGGATCCTCATATGGCTATCCTAGTGAAGGTACTTAGGTCCTCACATGGCTATCATAGGAGGGATACTTGGGTCCTTATATCGCTATCATAGGAGGGGTACTTGAATCCTCATATGTAGGGATGTAACAATACCAATACCATCAATACCAATACTAATTGGTATTGACCGGTATTGATATTGGTATTGATGTATGGGAGACTGCTGGTCCCTCACGTCAAACATCAATATTTTGGAAAACTGACAACGGATTCGGATTCCTCGACTCCGAAGACCTTTGATCAAACTTTATAAAAAATCGTCATTTTCGCAAAATAACGTATTCCTGATGAAAAAATCAAGAATTTATAATTGGTTTCTCAAAATTTTCGAAATTGACTTTTCGTTAAAACAAGGTTATTTTTCGAAAATAACGATTTTTTATAAAGTTTGATCAAAGTTTTCGGAGTCGAGGAATCCGAATCCGTTGTCGGTTTTTCAAAATATTGATGTTTGACGTGAGGGACCAGCAGCCTCCCATACACCAATACCAATATCGGGTTACCGGAACTTCGCCAATAGGAATTTCGCAAATTGAACTGTCGCCATTGGCGAACGTCCACAGGATATTCGCCAGTATACCCTTTACACTTTCGCCAATTGGCGAAAATCCACTACACTTTCGCCAATACATGCCTGCACTTTCGCCAATATTGGCGAGAATCCATTACACTACCGTCAATTTGAGTGAAACTCTTACATTGACCAGAAACGTTGGTATCAAATATATTTATAAGTGTATGTATCAGATCACATTTAAAGAATACAAGACGTAGCTCTCGCATATGTGCTCTGTCCCTAATGTTCTGCGCCAATTGCTGAAAATACACTGAACTTTCGCCAGTATTGGCATAAGTCCATCAGACGCTCGCCAGTCAATTGGCGAAAGTTGAGTGAACATTCGCCAATTCACACCCTGGACACTCGCCAATTGGCGAAAGTTCAATGGGCATTCGCCAATACATCCTCAGGACTTTCGCCAATAATTGGCGGAAGTCTTATTGGCGAAGAGCGTGGACCCCGTTCTGAAGAATATAGCTACTTAGGATAAGATATATTAAGTCTGAAATGTTTACAATTTAACAGTATACGCCGTCGATTTTGAATTAAAAGGAAAAAACCCATATAAAACTAAATCGATTGAAAGGAAAAACCTATATAGAACAGAACAACGACTCTTGTTAACAGATTCTCCGGAAGATTCGTGCAAATCATGTTTTCGGAAATCGTACAATAACAAGTGCTGCATTTTATGGCTCACGAATGCAGTTTAGATGCATCATTGTCTTTCAAAAAGAATATGGGTGGGTAGAATGCTTATAACTTTTTAAAGAAAACGGTTATAGAGCTGCGGTCTCCAGCATTCGTAAGTGAACAGTGGAGAACACAAACTCATGTAAAATAAGAAAATTTCGAAGCATTTTCTAGGTTCACTCTAGCTAAGTAGACTTAGAAAAACAGGCAATTATGCTCAAAAAATCTTTTCAGAAAAATTGTCTGTTATCCCACCTTTGCTTAGCTAGAGTTAGCCTGGAAAGCAATTCGAAATTTTCTTATTTTTACGTGGATTTGGGTCCCCAACTGTCCGCTTTCGAATGCTGAAGACTGCAGCTCTATAACCGTTTTCTTCAAAAAGTTACAAGCCTTCTAACCACCCACGTTCTTTTTAAAAAACGATAATACTTGC